ATCTCATTGCTAGCTACCTCTCTGATCCTTTTGATCTTATTGGGATTGCAGAAAGGGTAAAGGGAATATCAAGAATGCTGTCTAGATTTCAGACATTAGAACTAGTACGGTGCCATTACTGACGTACTTAAACATACACATATATTCCACAGTATTTATTGAGCATCCTCTCTGATATGAACACCTTCTATGAACCTGAGTACCTTTTATGACCCTAGTGTTATGCTAAGCTCTAGGTTTGTTGCAGTAAACAAAGGAGCTTTTATTACAAGTTAACAAGTTGTCATCATCATAACTGTGTGACATACTGAAAATCTGGAAATAACCTAACAGTTGTCAGTGCAGGTTGGTTGAAATAAATTATGTTGCATCCAAACAACGGGATACCTTGCATACAAACGGAGGAGATCAAAAAACAGATTACAAAACAGAACATATATAATATAATAATATGTAATATAGGACATATTTGTAGAGAGTCATGTTGAACTGAATTATTTTTTGTGAAAGTGGTATCACTGTCAGACGGTGGATTGTTTGGCCCATGCATACAGTTCCTGCATCATGTCCTTTGTATTTTCCCAACTGTGACCTAGAGGTCTGTGCTGGTCAGTACTCTCCTTGGTTCCTCTAATCCATTCCTAGTCTCTGTATGTTCTTCTCTTAGTTACTGAGTACCCATGGAGAAGAGAATCAAACTCAATGTTGTTAGGTGAAAAGCATCAGAAAAGAAAAACCACTAAATGACAGCCTTCAGGGTAATAGTAATGGAATTTGTAACTTGAAAATTACCTGTGAATGGACTTCACAGTCTTTATAGTCACATACAAAGTATATGCTCATAACTGCAGTTCAGCAAACTATTTTACACAGCTCGTGGAGACATTTGATATTGTGCCTGTTGCCTTATAGGCACATTTCACTATTTGTCATAGGTGAATACCGGAAATATATGTGTAAATAGATTTTTGGTAATACAAATCATGTTTTCTCAGCATAATAATGTCAAAAATGCTTCATCTTCACTTTAATTCTAATTGGTAGTGATAACAATTTCTCTTCCTAAGTTTTTCTACAAGTAGTTAAATCAATATTTAAATTCACAAGAAGTTATGATTTTTTTAAACCCAGGAATGAATCATTTAACTGAGAAAAATTATTCTTAGAAAAGAAAAAGAAAAATCAGTCTTGAACCATATAATTTTAAGTCATAATGGACAACAGGGTTTACCTAGTGCAATTCTTTCAGTTTAAAGATGAGAAAATTTTGAAGCCCAGTACAGGAAAATTAAAGAATTTGCCTCATATCACACATTTAGCTACAGTTGTTACTGTAAATAGAACTAGAACCCAGATCTTCAGCATACTTTTCACTGTGCTATATTGGTGTCTCGAAATATTTGTAAATCTACACTTTTTAATATTAAATTTTCTTCATACTCGTACATCATGTACCAAGTTAATACAAGTGAGGCCTATTGGTGAAGGTCTCATCAATACAACTAAGAGAAATATCTTCCTAAGACTATACACCTAAATACTTGATTTGACTGATGTTGAATGGAGCCATGTTCAACCTCATCTGAGCCACATTAGTTTATTTGAACCCACAGACCTCTCATTGAGTCTGGATTTCACTGTGAGGCTTTATCTTAGTTTAGCCAAAGACCAGGTGACTTGAAGTGTTATGAAACTTGAGTTTTATTGTCACTTAATTGTTGTACAGCCTTGGGTAAATCACGTAACTTCTAATGGGTCTTAATTTTCTCAGCCATAAAATGGAGATAATGACTATACTTATCAAGTTTATGGTAATGATCAAATATTGTAAGCAGTGATACAAAAGGTTTCGAGTATTTACTTTGTACTAGAAATTTACCAGTCAATGAAATCAAATTCAAGTAGTCTTGTTAGAAACAAACCCTATGGGTAAACTTTTCACTTATCAAACAGTTAATTTTGTATATACATTATTTTATTTTTGTAATTTATCTTTTCACAAATGAAAGCTTTTTTCCTGTTACCCAAGCTTTTTTGTTGTTGTTGGTATATTTATTCTTTGATCACTTTTAAGACTTTTGAAAGTATTCCTTTGTTCATTGTTTGAGAAAATGAAAGGTAATTATCTATTTATTATCTACATGATTTCTTTTCTAGATATACTACATCAGGTTCTTTTTCTTACAGCAGATTTTTTATCTTTCTTAATGAGACTGAATGATAAAATTAATTTTTACAAGAAAACCAGTGCCATTTGTTGATATAAATTAAACTTTTCTGACACAAAATGTCATTAGACTTCTTGCTGATATTGATGGGCACAATATTTTTTTCTATCATCTTTTTAAAAGATGTTAAACTTTTCCATCAGTAGATAGATTGAATACATTTGTGTCATTGCGCCCCTTTTGTCCATGTTTTGTATATTAATATAATGAAATAAATTCCTGTCAGACAACATGTAAGCAGACACATGAATAATGCACATGGAACAATTTTTTTTAACTAAAGAAAATTTTAATACTTGATATTTTAAAGGTGAAAATTAAAGTTCTAATTGTCTTCATATTCTTTGTACTGTTAAAGTTTTAAACACATTGTGGAATCTCAAGAGAGATTATTTTACTATGAAAATCATGTAAAATAGCCTACATTATTTGCAATGTGCTGCCTTTGGAACATATTATAAATAGTGTGATAACCTAACCTTTGTTAAAGGTTTGGAAATAATAAGGAAGCCAGAGTGATATTTGTAACTGGGTTTCCTTTTTTGCCAACTCCTATTTGATGAGTTATTAGACTGCTGAACAACAACAAAAAAAGGCAATGTTCTCAAAATTACAGGGACTTAATAACAAAAAATTTAGATGACAGTAGAAGATATTTATTTTCAACAAAAAAAAATATATTATAAATATTGCTGACAAGGAAATGTAAGTCATGGAGACTAATACAAGTATTTTAATATCCATACTATATAAACTACAGTAGCTCACTTTTAAATACTGTAATTTCATGTATCCAAAAATGAATATTCTCAATCATATGTATTGATTTTTCCCCATTCTATTTTGTTATTTTTCCAAGAAATCTAATTAGTTGGAGGAATTATTTTATTGCTTATAAAGTTCTAAGCATTGTTGGTAATTGAATTATTTATGTCAGTGTTAAATAAGGAAAGAGATTAAGATGTATCAGCTTTATGTTTTCATTTTCATTCTCATATCAAAAGAAACCTCCTTACCTTTGAAGAGACTCTTAGATCTACTATAGTTATCTTAACAGACTGTGAGAATATGAAATAAATAACAGATCCTGTTGGTTGAATACATGGTGGCAATTAAAAAAACTAACAAGTAATTTATGACTGTGATATTTAATGATAAGCCTTCAGATAGCAAATTTACTACCAAGTACTTAGAGCAGATTTTCTTATTGAACAACTTTGGGCAGAGGGAAAATGCTTTAAAAACTTTTTTCATATATGAAATAATAATTGTCTTAGGTTCATGATTAGGATTAGAAGGCACTGAATATATTCTTGATCCATCTTCCTTTAACCCATAGTGACATTCGTCAAATGGTTGGCTGGAATTCATTTCATAATCTGGGATGTTGGAGCAGATTTTACCCCCTGTGCAAAGCTAATTGACCCAGATAGGAATTAAATCTGCTGTGTTCGAACAGCAACCCTGTGTTCTGAAAGTTGAGCTGGCCGGGACAAATGTGTATGAAGATAAGAAACAGTCACATCCCATTGCCCTCATGGAATATCATTATTTATAGATGCATTTCCTCACTCATGAAAATAGAAAAATGTGTTCATGTAATCCATTGTATTTACACTGAAAAATGGAAAAAGCTATACTGCCAAATTCTTCAGTCAGAGCCATATTTGTTTTGCACAGAACCAGATTCTTTTCTCTTGGTTTTCTTTTTTGTTTTTGTTAAATAGGTACTTCGTGGTTGGGTGTGACGGTTCAATAAAATATTTACAGAGACATGCATATGTTTTTGCTGAACAACCTACCATTGATTTTTGTACACTAAGCCGTCTGCTACATTTACTAACTTTTGTATTCTTTAATGTTGCATGTATGCTTCAAATTCTATTTCCTTCTTTCTTCAGGGCATTTCTTCTGGCTATGTGATTTATTTAGGATCACAGTGAAGCAAATTATGTTGTGTTTTTAAGGTTACCCACAGTTTTTTACAGCATTAGACCCTTCAGTGTCTATGAACCAGCTATGCTCCACAGCCGTAGCACACAAGTTGTCCTTACGAAATATCTTAAATTCAGCTAATGTGAAAGCAGATTTTCTTCACTGTTACTAAATTTTCTCGGAGATATTTTATAGCATTTGTGAAATATTTTAAAATAGTAACATTAATACTAACATTCATGCGGGAAATAGTTTAGGTCGACTTAAATTCATACATGTATTTTATTGTCTTTTATTTACAAATGAAGTGGAGTTTATACTCACTTGTCTTCATTTGTCTTAAAAGATCAAGTTTTGAATTCATATTATTTTAGCAGTTTACTCGAAGAATATTAGAAGTTTGATGGAAGATGAGCTCAGGTGATGAGCACATTGATTCAGGTATACTTGGCATAGCAGTTCATTAACTATGTGTTAATTATCTATGATTACTCCTGAAAAGCTATAGTGGCTTCATCTTTTAGGTTGCTTCATTAAATCATTAATTTTCTCGGCGGTAACTAAGCCTGACATAATTAAGTCATCTCAGTCTCCACAGATTTTTATCTTCCCATGATGTCAAGAACACTGAGCTAGTTAATATAAGACATTATAACTTCTCCCCTGGAAGTACTGACTTTATTTTTTGTAACTATTTATACTATTTTGGCTGATTTTAAAATTATATTTAATCTCATAAATGTATACCTTTTAATTATTTACTTACTGTTTTAGCTTACATTTGTATTTCCTGTGTAATAAGCCCATTTATGTATTTGAACCACTTCTTGCCAACAGTTCTTTGACCCATGGCTACATAGAGCTGCTTCAGTTTATCCAGAAAATCATTTATGAGGAAGGATTTGATGGATCCAATCCCCAGGTATTGAGTACCTTCAAAGCCTTTTATAATCATGTATGTAATGTTGTTTTCCAGCTCTCTAGGGGTAGACCCAGAATGTCTTAGAAAAGTCAACAATGAACAAGCTGTTTCCAAGCACAGAAGATGTAAATAGGCAGAGCACAGACAGCCTTAGTTTGACTGTTAATATGTATTTAGAATTTCAGCTAAGTTCTCAGTGAATGCACAAAAGATGTACACATACATTGTCAACATTATTATTTTTAAATATGTATTTCTAACGCCTGGAATTAATAACTAACCACATTTTGACAATTATTCTTAAATCTGCAAGGCTTGTCCTTGCCTATCTAAATTTATATTTCTGTCATTCAGGCTTTAATTTTGAATTACCTTATGAGTAAGAATTAATTTAAGATTTTATTTCTTATTACAGTATGCTTTTAGTTGTCTCATTGAATAAAAAATGCATTTTTATTTGCTATATTAAAATATTTTATAACTTAACTATTTTTCTGTAGCGCTATTTTTAAAACCTTCCTCCGAATTACCACTATTAAAGATGTTCCGGTTAGTTTAACTGAAACAAAATGAGGGAACTTTTATTTCTAGATATCATGCCTCTCAGAATTCTTCCTCAGTGATTTTAATTACTATAGCTGCAAAAAGATTTGCATTTCATTTATATTATTTTAGCAGAATTATTTCCAGAGCACCATTATTTTTATTGAAGAAGACAAAGAAGCCGAAAGTCTTAATTTTTGGCATTATCAACTACATTTGTTCTTAATTCGTAGATTTTAAAAATTCTTATAAACTTTACTGCTATATTTAACACTTGTAGAAAAATAAATGATTTTAAAATTTCTCTTGATCATCAGTTTAATAGAAGATTGAAAATACGTGTGTGTGGTGAAGCACACACATTTTTTTATAGATGGCTTTTCATGTATGTTACGGTTTTTGTGATGTCCCTTGGTGTTTAGTACAATTTTATTTTGCTCATTGTTTCTCCATTTTTGGTCCTAGCTAAGATTTATGGGCAACATGTCTTCTGTTTCATGGCGATGCCTGTCTGGAGAGGTAAATTGGTCCCTGACAGACACCTCTTCCCATTCGCTGTGGTAACTATGGAAACAGGCATGTCATAACAGTTCCTACAGTACAATGTGCGGAGCTGCTGCTCTTGCAGAATGATGACATATCTTCTAAGAGCAAGAAATTTTTTTAAAAAGTGATAGCAAAAAGACATACTTGTATGTTTATGCACGTGTATATGCGCGCGCACACACACACACACACACACACACACACACACACACACACTCAAAGAACCCTTAGTGAGTAAGCTGTTATTGGAATGGAATGAAAGGTTTCTTTTCTTAGTTGTTTATTTGAGTGTGTAAACAATACCATTAGTAAACAGTATTTTATTTTATGAACATTGATAGACAACAAGCTGATTTGGCTTTCTGAACCACAGGTTCTATAACTATTACTATTAACTTTCATAAAGAGTGAACAGGGTTGAGATAGACATTTCTATGTTGAACACCAAGAATGCCAAAAAAATATTTAATAAACTAAAACTATACAAATAAGTTATTATAAAAATATATTTCCAATTTTATTGGAACTAAAATATAGTTAATAAATATCCATATTGTTAAATTATAGATTGTATCATTTACTAAATTCCCTAGTCTACATGCCTGTCTCAGAAACTTTAGATGCGTTCAAGAAGCCACAAGAATACATCAGGCACTACTTCAAAAAATATTATTCCTGAGTCAAAATAATATTCTGACACTGAAATAAATCCTGCTTTTTAAAAGAAAATTTTCATCTTTTTTTTGTCACTACATTTTCAAATAAACTAGTTGTAGGCAACATATAGAAATAGACTCTAAGGAACGGAATATTATATACTATTGTATCGTTAACATTGTTAGTAAGCAGTGTAACTCATCTGTAAAGATACTTAGAGTAGAAATCTTTACAAATTGCTGTCATAATTTCATTTGTTTCTAAGTTTTGATTTTCAACTATTTAAGAAATATACAGTAAAAGAATTTGAACATTGATTTTACTTGGAATAGCAAATTAAATATCTTAGGTGTTCTTTCTCATAGGAATAAATTTAACTATTTATTGTTTAGCTATCAGAAAAAGTTTATTTTTTTAATTTCATTATGCCTCACAGTGTGCCCCGTTATTACATGGCATAGCAAAGGAATTATGTTTCAAAAAAACAGGAAATTTGCAGTTAAGCCTATTTTTGCAATGTATTGTCATATTTTTAAAAACATAAGTGTTTTCCATGTGTGGAAGTATTATGCTCAGTAACATTCTGATGTCCTGTGCACCTGCCTCACTTAAATCTCTTACCTCTCCTTCATTCTTTGGCTTAATATTTTCATGCTTATACCAGTTTATCTGTCAAAGTCACTCATCTTTTGTAGTTCTTCGGATTCATTTTTGTTAAAAACTTTCAGAAGGTACTTTCTGATACAACAGTAGTAGGTATTGGTGACAGTGGGTTAAAATATAGCCGCTCTTTAGTTTCTGAAATGTTGACAGGAAACAAGATGCTGCTTCCCTCCTTTCACCTTCACATTTCATTCTAATATCTAGCTTGTTTCTAGGTACGTTTCTCTCTGCCTTTTTCCAGATTGCTCTTTCTGTTGGGAATCTAACCTAAGCTACTGTTCAGGAGATAACAGGTTTAGGGATGAAATAAATGAACCTTAATCTTGCCATTTACCTAAATTATGAGTTTTTCAGTAATTCATAAAAAGGAATAACCTATCATATTTCACAGATATCTTAACCAAATTCACCAGAACCTTATTTATACTTCTAACATAGGCCCTGATATATCTTATTACTTCATTTCATTCAAGCAATGCAAAAAGGAAAAGCAGATTTTTGTGAATCACCTAGGATCACAGCATGTGGCCCCTGAGGTGGTTGTCTATCATAACCTTGATACAACCAGAAAAGAAACATTGAACCAGCTGCCTTGATCGTGTCATCATGCTTCAGGTCTTTGGAGTCAGGAAGTTTTTCCAAATGTGCTTAGACTCAACTCCTCTTTCTAAAACCTCATGCTTATAATTTTATCCAGGACATTGTGTCACTGTATATTTGAAGGATTGTATGGTCTCATAGAGCAATGTTCTAATTTTTTTATTTTAGAGATGAGGAAACGAAGGCCTAAGTAATGTATGTGTCTTACCCAGAATCATACATCAGTCCAGACTATGAGACTCTGTCTTGCTCATATTAATAACTACTGTCCCCTACGTTTTTCCTCTTCCCATATTTCAGTGTTTTATTCATTTTGTCTACTTTCTTTGTCAATAAATTCTCGTTGAAAAAGAATACACAAATTAGACTTCTATCTCTACTATCAGGGAGATAGATATATTGGGTTGGGCAATAACTACTTGGATAATAAAGTTTATTAATGGTATTTTATAGCAATAGCAAGGGGTATATTTTAGGGTATGGTTTGAACAGAGATCACACTGTAAAATGGCACATGTTCCAAGTCTTTGTCTGATCTTTCCCATCAGAATCATAGTAATGATTTTCCAGTTATTTCCATGCACCAGATTTTGCTAAGATCTTCCTTTGCCCAGAAATTTTGTTGCATTGCAAAGAAAGCATTTACAAAACATTGGTTCAGTTAGAATAACCCAAACAGTAAAATTTGTTATACATATATCTACTGGCAAACACTTTTTGACAATCATCCTAGGTTTTATTTAATGGTTTTTAAATATTCTTTTCCCTGAGAAAATGAGTCACTATTTTTATGACCTTAATATCAGTAAGCTTGAGTTCTAATTGTTCACCTGTTAAATTTTATGAAAAGTGTTGAACTTAAACTATTATTGTAAAAATAAAAATAGCTTTAAGAAAAGAAAAGTAGAGGCAAGTGTAAAAACATACATTTTTAAACTTCTTTCCAACAAAATGTCACGTAGTGGACACAGTAGAACTACATGAGAAATATTGAGTAGTTTATCGTTTATTGAAAAACTTAGAGAATTATGTAATACTAACAATGGTTTCTAAGCACACTGGTTTAGATTTTATTATTGACTGTGATTTGTTATATATTTAACTCTTTCAAATAGATTATTCAAGTAGTCACTGTTAAAATTTAGAAATAACTAAAAGCTTGAGGCTTATGATACTCTTCAAATTTTCCAAAAGTGGAAAGAAAAATCAACTCTGTTATTTTTGTTTGTTTGTTTTCTTTTATTCGTTTCAGGTGTACAAAACAACATAATGATTGGACATTTACATCCCTCACAAAGTGATAAGCCCCCCTCCCCAATCTATTACCCATCTGACACAGTACATAGTTACTACAGTACCATTGACTATATTCTCCATGCTGTACTTTACATCACATGGAAAAAAAAAAAATATATATATATGTATATATGTATATATGTATGTAATTATAATTGACATTCAGTATTATTTTACATCAGCTTTAGGTGTATGTACAGCACAGTGGTCAGGCATCTATACCATCTATGAAGTGATCTGTTATTTTTCTAAACTCTTGTAATCTAGAATATTTTCTTTATATTACCTTATTATTGATAGTCCATAAAGCTTTTGACCGTATCTACTGATATTGTCTCCCTGATCTGTTATAAATAAAAATGAGAACTGGCAAAAGTAAAAGATGTATCCTATGGGTTAACAAAACTTAATTTTTTTTTTACCTCTCCCCCACTTCCCATTAGAAAAAACAGAAAAACATTTTAAGAATAGGAATCCAGAATCTTGGTTCACCTTTGTGGGGAGATGACATTTGCTGTACCGAAAACTGTGACAACAGTCACAGCCTTACAAAGTTCCTCTATATTCTTCGTGGTCTTCTACGAACCTCTCTTTCAGCCTGTATCATCACAATGCCAACACATCTGATCCAGGTAAGAACTTTCCAAAACTGCTTTCCCCTATCTAATGGTACGTAGTCAAGGACAAAGTATAAATGTTTTATGAGTCTGATAAGTTATTTTGATATGCCCCTTGGATAAAAGAGATTTCAGGTGCTTAAAACACCAGAGCGACAATATCTCTTTTAATTTAGATGATTAAATTGTGTATTTGTGGTTTTAATATACTGTGAGCATATGATAAATTCATCTTTACTAGTTTTTTTCTTTGATTTCTTATGAAGTTACAAATATATTGTGATATGAGGTTGATTTTTGCTGTGGTATCTTTTAATTAATCATAAAGCTGATGTGAACATAAGTCTTAAAGAGATATTTGTAAACCTATTCATAGCAGCATTAATCACTCTAGCTAAAATGTGGAAGCAAACTTGAGTATCCTTCAATAGATGAAGAGATAAGCAAAATGTGGCATATATTGCAGTGGAATATTATTCAGTATTGAAAAGGAAGGAAATTCTGACACATGCTACCACATGAATGAATCTTCAGGACATTATGCTAAGTGAAATAAGTGTCACAAGAAGATATTGTGATTCCAGTGATATGAGGTACTGAGGGTAGTCAAAATGAGAGACATAAAGCAATATGGTGATTGCCAGGGACTGGGGGGGGGAGGAGAGAATGGGGAGTTATTGTTTAATGGTTTTATAAGATGAAAGAGCTCTCCAGATGGTTGGTGGTGATGGTAGCACAACATTATGAACATATGTAATACCGCTGAAAGGTACACATAAAAATGGATAAAATGGTAAATGTTATTTTTAAAATTTTGTAACAGTTAATATTATTTTATGTTATTTTTTCCTAATGCACATATTGAAACACCTTGATTAGAAATGACTTTTATAGCAATTTTGAGTTGTTCTTATTTACTTCTGTAGGAAATAACAATAACGATAGCATCTAACAAATACAGACCACTTACTTTAAGTCAGGACCTAACAATTCTTTTAAAAGTTTTATGTAAATACTGTTATCTACATTTTCTACATAAGGAAACTGAGGTACAGAGAAGTTAAGAAACTGCAACTGGGTTCAATCCTTGAGAAACCATAATTTGAATCCAGAAAATCAGGTTTCAGAACCACATTATAGGAAACCTGTACAAGAATTTTAACAGGCTTTTATTCTGGAATTAAGTCTTTCAAAGCTAATAAATCTCAAATATTTAATTTTAGAACTAGAAAGGACTTGAGGGGATCATCTGAACTCCTGCCTCTGAACAAGTAAAACATTATCTCTGTTTTGCACCTGAGGTCTGAACTGAAATGACAATTGTTCAAGCAAGTCTATGAAACAAGGACTGTATCAGTGAGAACTGTACATTTAATTAAGTTAACAGAAATATAACAGATATAATTGGAATTTGGATTTCACCAAGAAAATAAGGAAATGCCGTTTGAAGATGCTTTACCTAAATATACTGTCCAGCAGTTAAAGCTGAGACTTTAAGGGCTATGAAGTTTATGGAACATGTCATAATAATCCTTGAACTTTCCTCCAATCTACAGGAAAAACATTTGCATTTTGTTTATATCAGCTTTTAAGACAAAGTCACTATTTTACGTGTCTGTTTAAAAATTTTAAATTTGCTGATATAACACCATATTCTTTCCTCCACAAGAGGAGTATAATTGGCAGCATACCCCCATACATTGTCAGTGACACATTTTGAGCTTTCTGAGAGTTGCTATAGCAACTTCCTGCTTTTCAAGTTAGCATTCCTCATTAATAATTACATAATTTTAGCAAAATAAAAATTGGCTCTTACTCAGAAAAAAATTTGACTTTTCACATCAAGATTTCTTAAATCCAAATATTTCCCTGTCACCAAATTGAAAAAGAAAAAGAATTCTGTACTTCTTACAAATTTAGTTATTGAAGCAGTGTTTTATTATCTTTAATCATTTGTTTTTCATTCATTTCTTCTACACTGTTTTCGAGTGACTGATAATGTACTCTGGCCCACTGTATGTATCACTGGAAATTTAAAAATGAATGAGATACACTGGTTCCTTTCAGGGAACCTTACTCTGTAGTGGGGAGGTAAACATTTAAAAGATGTGCTATAATCTGAAAATGAAATTAAGAAAACAATTACATTCACCATAGCATCAGAAAGAATAAAATACTTAGGAATAATTTTAATAAGAGAAGTGTAAAATTTATACTCTGAAAACTACAAGCATTTGAAAGAAATGAAAGAGGATCTACATGAATGGAAAAACTTTCCATGTTCATGGATCAGAAGGCCCAAAATTTTTAAGATGATGACACTCCCGAAACTGATCTATAAATTCAATGCAATCTCTATCAAAAGCCCACGTGACTTTTTTTGGAGAAAAGGGAAAACTGATTCCAAAATTCCTATGGAATTTCAAAGGACTTAGAATAGCCAAAATAATCCTAAAAAAAGAGTTAAGTAGGAGGGCTTGCACTTCTTAATTTCAAAACTTAATATAAAACAATGATAAAACACAGTGTAAGTACTAGCATGAGAATCGGCATGTAAATCAGTGGAATGGAATTGAAACTCATAGAAATACATCTGTGGTCAGCTGGTTTTCCACAAGGCTGCCAAGACCATTCAATAGGAAAAGAATAGTCTTTTTCAATAAATGGCATGGGACAACTAGATAGCCATGTGCAAAAGAATGAAGTTGGACCTTTACCTCATACCATGTATAAAAAATAATTCTGAATGGTTCAAAGATCTAAATGTAAGAGCCAAAACTATAAAACTCTTAGAAGAAAACATAGGGGTAAATCTTCATAGCCTTGGGTTTGGCAAAGGATTCTTTTTATTTATTTATTTTTTTAACTTTTATTGAGGAACAATGTGTTTTTTCCAGGACCCATCAGCTGCAAGTCAAGTTGTTGTCCTTCAATCTTAGTTGTGGAGGGCACAGCTCAGCTCCAAGTCCAGTCGCTGTTTTCAATCTAGTTGCAGGGGCGCAGCCCACCATCCCATGTGGGAGTTGAATCGGCAACCTTGTTGCTCAGAGCACGCGCTCTAACCAACTGAGCCACCTGGCCGCCCCTGGCAAAGGATTCTTAGATGTGACGCCAAAGCACAGATAAAAAAAGATAGAAATAGGTTAAATGGAGTTTATCAAAATTAAAAACATTGGTGTTTTAAAGGACACCATCAAGAAAATGAAAAGTCATATGTCTGATAAGGGATTTGTATCTATAATATATAAAAAATGCTTACAACTAAATATAAAAAGACAGCCCTATTTTAAAAAAATGGGGAAAGGACTTGCGTATACGTTTTTCCAAAGAAGATATTCAAATCGTCAGTTAGAACATGAAAGATACTCAGCATCATTAGTCATCAAAAATGCTAATCAAAATCACAATGAGATACCACTTCACACCCTCTAGGATGGCTAGCATCAAAACTCAGATGATTGTATTGGGTTGTCAGAAAAGTCATGACACATTTTTGCAACGAAAAACAGAGAAAAAAATACATCATGACTTTTCCAACAACCCAATAAGTGTTGGCAAGAATGTGGAGAAATTGGAAAACTCATATCCTGCTGGTGGGAATGTAAAAGGGTGCAGCTACTTTGGAAAACAGTCTGGCACCTCTTCAATGCTTAAGCATGGAGTTGCCATATGACCTAGCAATTTCACTCCTAGGTATATATACCCAAGAGAAATTAGAACATGTGCCCACATAGAAACTTACACGTGAATGTTAATGGCCAAAAGATGGAAACAGTCCAAATGTCCATTAGCTGATGATTGTATAAGCAAACTGTTATATCCATATTATAGAATATTATTTGGCTATAAAAAGGAATGAAGTACTGATACATGCTACAACATATATGAACCTTGAAAACATGCTAAGTAAAAGAAGCCATCACAAAAGAACACATACTATATATTTTATTCATATGAAAGTCCTGAATAGGGAAATCCATAGAGACAGAAAGCAGTTAATGGTTATCTAGGGCTTTTGGGTGTGGGGTGAAAGGGACACCTGAGGGGATGAGGGTGTGATATGTAAATGGTTTGAGGGTTTGTTTTTGTCTTTGTGAGGTGATGAAAGTGTTGTAATATGGACTATAGTTTTGGTAAATATCTGTGAAAATCCAAAAAAAAAAAAACCGCAGAATTACAAACTTTAAATGGGTGAAATGTATTTTATGTGAATTATATCTCAATAAAGCTGCTGAAAAGAAAAAGATGAGTTACAAAATAGTTAGTGAATTTGATATTAGAGTTATGAGGATACCAAATCACAACTTCAGTATGATGGTTATCAAACCTTTGATCTCAGAATCTCTTTCCCCTCTTAAAATATATTTTAAGATCTCAAAACACTTTTATTCATTGGGATTGTATCTATTGATATTTACCATATTTGAAATGAAAACTAAGAAATTTTAAAATATTTATGAATTCAATTATAATAATAAATAGATTACATGATTGTAATAAATATTGGTTTTCCAAAACAAAAAACTTTAGCAAGACAAGTAACATTGTTTTACATTTTTCCGTAGTAGAAAACAGCAGGTTCTAATATCAGCTTCTTTATTAAACCCTTGTGAAAGTGCTGTTTTGGTTGCAGCATTAAAAGAAAATCGGGCCGTACACAGATAAGTTGTTGGAAAAGGGAGGACTATTTTAATAGCCTTTTCAGATAATTGTAGATATTCTTCTTTGATATAAACTGAAACTAGACAAGTAAGAGTTTCATAAACATTAATTGTAATATAGAATCAAAAACTGTATCAATGAACTTTTTCATGCTGTGTTACGCTAAAAGGCATTGGTTTATCTTATACTTTGAATGGGTCTTTTACCCATTCAAAATATTGAAATATTATTCCTTGGTCATTTGGAAAGTTTTGGTGCACTGAGCTATGCAAATCTTACAAATATTTGTGCATTTCATTATGTAATATAAAATAATCAGATTGGTGAATATCACCATCCACAGTGTTATATCT